TTTCACCCATCCCTCTTAAGTATTTAAGCTAATTTCAGAATGTGTAGAACTCTTTTTTGTTGTTGTTGTTATTCCTCACAGGAGGATATTTTTTTCCCCATTGATTTTTAGAGAGTGGAAGGGAGGGAGGGAAGAAAGGAAAGAGAGAGAGAGACATCTATGAGTTGCCTCCTGCACAGGCCAGACCAGGGCTGGGATCAAACCTGCAACCTAGGTACGTGCCCTGGACCAGAACTCGAACTCACAACCCTTTGGTGCTCGGGCCAGTGATCTAACCACTAAGCCACACTGGCCAGGGCAAAATGTGTAGAACTCTTACATAAACAATTAGTGGGAACTGCCCCTATGATGTCTAAGATAAATGTTAATGATTTTCTAACTACAGGCTACGATGTACCAGTCATCCCTACATTCCTGAATTACAACTGAAACTGGGTGCCAACTGATCTTTGTTATGTTCTGAGAACAAATGTTCTGGGACAACAACTAGGCTGGCTTTATTTATCATGTAAAACCATTTAACCTTCTCAGCACTTTTTACTACAGGAGCTACTGATTGGGCTTAATTACCCAAGTGGTTAGTGCAAGGCAATGACATCTGAGTGCCTGGTTCTAGTCAGATTTTCTGTAATCAGTGGAATAAAACAAGTTTTGCTAATATTGCTGTATCTTTGTTTAGTCAAGCTACTTTTGGCAAAATGAGTAAGGTTGTGGTTGCTACTAAATGTGTTGGCATTTAATAATGTATCTCTACAGTCACTCTCGATGGAGTTGACCAAATATTGTCACCATATATGGTACCAAAAGTATATATCTTCTTTAAGCTCAACTTAGACTTCCTACCTGAAATAGCACACCTCCCCTTACCCAGCTTTTTTTCTTATTTACCTATTATTTTCAGAAATTACATTATTTTATGATATAACATAGTATTTTATAATAAAGTATGTATTTCTTTTTTGTCCCCTCCCCATAAGAATGTAAGCTTCAGGAGGGCAGGTCCTTTGTCTTACTGATTCTATCTGCAGTACTCATAACTATGCGTGGCATGTAGTTCTTCCATAAACACACATTAAATAAACAAACATTAAGAAATTGGTTTGCCAAAATGAATAGCCAATGGAAGTTTTCAACAGGATCTATGTACTGTAATTACACTAAGCGAGAGTAAGTTCACAGAACCACTACTGAAGTGACATAAGTGAGTTAATAAATTACGACTTATTCAATATATTTAAATGATTTAAGTTTTTAGAAATATAAAAAATAGATTTGGTGGTGTTTTGCTATGCCTCTGGTCCTTGATAACCTCCCAAATGGTATATCAAAATTCTGTGGTACCATTATCTAGGAATATTACTGAACAGATTCTGGAATTACAGTCACAAAACACAGAAGGCTAATCTAGAACCACTTCCAAGGGCCAGCATTGACTGTACAGCCTGCTTGTTCTCTCTAGCCCGCCTAACATGGTTTAACTAAATTTAAATCTTTTTAATGATGGATATCTCTGTTTCTGCCTCTCTCTCGGGGTAGGGGGCTGGGAGAGGGAGAAAGAGTGAGAGCGAGCACAATTTTCCCTTTATTTACACAAAAAAGTAGAAAGGGTCCCATTTCCCTTCTTTCCCCATTCCCTGTGGCCAGTAAGTAACTCTCATGGGTTCAGGCATGTTACCCGCATGTAACCTCTCTACCCAGTGACTAGATGCCAGATGTGAACAGCTCACTTCGGGCACTGGCCTGCTGAGCTTGAGAATTTCACCATGACAGGCTTCTAGGTTGCGAGATGCGTACAATTTCACACACGACAGCTGCATTCTGTGGGGGGAAATCTGTCCCCGTCCTCCACTTCCTCCTGCCCCCCTCGGCTCCTCACAGCCACTCCACCCGCCCCGCCTGTGCCATCAGAGCGGAGCTGGGCTTAGTTCTCATTGGCTTGTTCCTCCTGAGACCCCAGACAGAGCTAAGGGGGTGTAACTGCATTTGACTCAACCGACTTGACTTACAGAGACAAGGTTAGTAAATTAGAATATTTTTCCAATCGGGCTGAGTGGTAGAGTTACCTTTTGAATCATGAGCACCTTCACCATCTAAACTGTAAGCAAATATTAGTATGGTAGCAACGTCATTCTTTTCCAGAGAGAAAAACGATCTCAGAAGAAAATTCTATTTTATGCATCAGCTGAACCTTACTTCATCTAATTTATCCCAGTCTTCAACATTAGATCAATACAAACTGAACTCTTAAGGAATATTCACACACAAAGGTATTCATGAGCATTCATTTGTGAAAACAAAAGTATACAAAGACCTGGCCACATACCAGAAAACATCTCAGACTTTTGTAATGGCCCCATCATTGGCAATGCACAACTATAGGCAATTGTCAGGGAGGAAAACTTTTTCTTTCTTTCCTACTAGGCTCTTTGGCTTGCCTAGTAATTAAAATGACATAAGACATTAACGAGAAAAAAATAACCCCAGAAATTTAATTTTGCAAGTAGGGAAGCTCAGAGAAATATGAGACTCAAAGAAGTAACCAAAGCAGGCAGCTTTTTATACCTTTCAGACAAAGAAACAATACATTTGTGAAGAATTGACAGGACAAAGGGTTTGGGCTTAGGATAGTAAATTAGAATGAAAGCAACAAGGCTTGTTTGTGCAGGCTTTTCGGTCCAGATTTCCCTATCCCTGGTAATAAGTTTGTCTTTCCACCTCCTGGTACCGGGAGCATGCCTTTCACATGGGAGATTTATTTCAGGACAAAGAAGGGTCAGAATGTCCGTCTTGCACCGGCCATTTCTTAAGCAACTTTAACTCAAAATAATCCATATGCCAGAATGGCATATTGTTACTGTGCTAAACGGGGTCCATTTGTCTGCATGCATCAAAGCCCAATAAGACATGAACAGGAGTCTGCAGCAAAGAAACTAATGGCTTATTTTTAGGAGGTGGCCCACGCTGGAGACAAGGGAACTTAATGCTCAAAGAGCTGGCTTCCAGGGGATGGGGAACATAGGAGAAAAATCATTAATCAAGGTGACTAAGGGAGTTAGGGTCCTGGTCTCTACTGATTGGTCAAGGCTAGGGTAGAGGATAGTTGACCAGTGCATCTGGTCCTGCTGTCAGCCATGGTGTCACCACAGTTTCACTGCTTTTCTGGGCCTGGAGCTGTCACAGCTGAGGCTAAATGTTACCTCTAGTTTGACTGAAACTGTCTCTGGGTTCAACAGACCCGAGACTTTGTTCCTAAGATTGTTTGGTGGTGACCAGAACATCGTTGTCCAGAGGGCTTAGTGATTTAGGGAGTGGTCCTGCTACGGAGAGGGAGGCAGGTGAGTCAGGGTGCTGGATAAAGCCAGTTATAATCAAAAGGAAAGAAAGGAAAACGGTCATATTAAAGAAACAGTTTCTACACGATTACAATATTTTGAGGTAGCCTTCCCTGAACCCCGTCAGTCACCAAATCTTGTTTCTCAGACATATCTACTATAGCAGTGGTTCTCAACTGGGGTTAATTTCGGCAAGCAGGGCAATGTCTGCAGACATTTTCTGTTGTTACATCTTGGGAAGGGGGCTACTGGCATTTGGTGAGTTGCTGCTAAACATCTTCCAGTGCACTGAATGTCACCCCCAAATATGCCACTTTGGCATAAGAATTATTTTGAGCTAAAGATAACTGAGAAGCAGCATAAGCAGGAAAAGTTGTGTTTTTTTTTTACCTCCACTTAACTGCCAAAAAATGAAGTATAAATTTCCCCTTTTGTAAAGTATATTTACATTTAGAAAGATAATTTCCATTTGTAAAGACGCCTCCGCACCAGGAAGAGAGCTTCTGCTGAAGACAACTCTTACCATCTGAGAAACTCTTCCCTGCACTGTAAGACAACCCTTCTTACCCACACATTTCCTCCTCTCAGCCTCTTATAACTTGCCTCTCCCAGCCTAGAAGCTCAAACCTCCTGTTTCTTTGTTTAGCCTATGATGGTATATAAACCTGAATCCTCTAGCCACTTCCTAGAGTCTCAAATCTTTTGAAACTCCAGTGCAGATACAAAGCAATTAAACTGTTTTCTTTTCCTTCAATGTTTCAAACTGTGCTTAATAAAATGACTGTTTTCTTTTCCTATTGTCTTTTATCAGTTTGAGTTGCAAGCTCCAGCCATTGAACCTAGGAGCATACAGGGTAAAAGATTTTTCTTCCCAAGAGCACAGGACAGTCTCCCACAACAAAGAACGATCTGCCCCCAAATGTAACTAGAGCCCAGGCTGAGAAACCTTGCTCTCTACCAAGAGGAGACAGAGGGAAATCTACAGCATGAAAAGTCAGCATGGGGTTTAGGAGTTTAGTAACTTAAGGGAAGCCAAATAAAGTCTCCTTCATGGCTGCAAATCTTGGACATATTACTAAGAACTTCAATGTTTCAAACTGTGCTTAATAAAATGACTCTGTGGGATTAAACAGATGGGTTTTATTTCTATGTCAGTCCACCAGTCACAGAACCGATGGCAGGACACATGTTTTGGTTTAAGGAGAAATCATGAAAGTTTCACCAAATCACAATGCCAGTGACACCTGGGTTAAATTAGGAAATCAGAGGACAGAAAACTCAGGTTTTGTTTTTTTAAATAAAGGGGTACTGGTGGTCTGTAGTATAGGGTTAATGCCAATAGGCTTGATAAGCAGCAAGTATAGCTGCAGATCCAGATAAAGCCCTTCCAAATGCACAGTGGGAAAGGAGGAGCTGCCTGGCTCCAGTCCCAGCTTCGCTCCTACTGTGTGATAACAGGCAAGTCTCACCTTCTCTGTAAAATCAGGAGCTGGCCTGTGCTCTGCAGGATTCCCTCAAGCTCTGTCGTTCTCACTCAATGGCTTCTTCACCATCTGCTTTGGCACACAAGGATTATGACAACTCTGCAGCAGGATGCCAGGGAGGCATATATACTGATTTGCAATGCTATTGGTAAAGGAAATAAAGAACAAAAGGAATACATGCAGGTCTGCATAAATGGGAAAACCTTTAATTTGACAATCATTTATTCAACAAACATTTATTTACTGAGCATCTCCTCTAAATAAGGCATATAAAATTCTCTATATATTTTTTAAAATTTTGTTTTCGATGAACCTGAGAAGTCCTTTGGAAGTTTATTTCCAAAGATTTATAGCAGTCAACATTCAACTCCACCAGCGAAGTCCCTCTCTGCCTTCCTCTCAGGACAGGTGGGTCTCTGCTAGCTCATGCCCCCCCAGGTGGTGCCGGCACAGCACATACTTGAATATTCTTCTCGGCGGGAAACAGAGACGGAACTTCTTTACTTATCTCACCCGGCTACTGTGACTTGCTTCACCGCCTTGATTTTTCAGGGATTGGAAGTTAAGTCTTCTCTCAGAGAGTAAATGCAAGCAAGTGAAACTCAAAGCTTCAGCGCGGCTCTCATTCTGCAGCGCTGGTTCTGGCCGTAAGCACTGCTCGCTGGGCGGCTGCGGCCTCCGTGCGCTCCCTGCCGCGCAGAGGAGTGCTTCGGCTCCCACGCTTACATCTTCAGAAAGGCCACCTGGAAAAAGACGAAAAGCCCCCAGTGCTTTACTTATGTAACGCGAGGAAATGGCTGAATGCACATCGGATCAAACCAGGTAAGTCTGGTCAATAAGGATGCAGGCTGATCTGAAAAGAAAAATGACTCTGGCCAGACATTGCCACTTTACAGAAGCCAATTAGTCCTTTTAGAATGAATCATAGAGTAAGTGAAATGATTCACATGCACTTTAAAGAAAAGAAAAACAAAAGGTTTAATCGACACTAAAGTTGTATCACTGTGAAGTAACCCAGTTCTTGTTCTCACTGGTTCAAACAGCTGTTTGGACCTTCCATAAGCAGAATTCTGCGTCCTAAAGATTCCCGGGCAATTCCAGCTCCTCATCACTATCAGCAGTTATACCAGCCTCTCCCAGGTCATGCCAATGCTTTTAATATCACTCAATTACATTTATTGTGGTTGTCAGCAGCAATCAATCTTAAAAAGTGCTTTAAAACTTTTTATTTCATATTGGCCTATGCACAAAAAACTCTCAGACTATTTAAAAGAGCCAGATCAAATGCATCTATTTTCACAATTGCTTTAAATAACAGAGAAACAAACATAATAAAGTCGACCACAAATGTTTAGAAAGTTTTAGTTCAGGGGTGATAATACATGGGGGACTGTGCCAATATCAGGCAGAGAGTGGAATGTAGATCAGAGACAAAGATGGGGAAGTATGGGAGGGGTAGGAAGGTCGTCCTAGGCCTTTCTGGGGGGAGAGTAAGCAACGGAAGTAAAAGCATTCTACTCTTGGACAGTGGTGCTTAAGTCCCCGAATGCAGCCGAAAAGGAGGCGTGTATTTAATGAACCTTGTTAAGGGGGAAGGAAAAAGGAAGAGTCGTGCTGGGCAGAAAGCATCTGCTTTTTGTTGAGTAATTCAGAAGGATGTTCCTCTTCATACAGAGCTGGTAAGAAAGGCACCTGCTGAGTTTCCCTATGGGCTTCCTGCTGAGTTTCTACATCAAGTTCTGCAATGAGAACACCAAAGTTGAAGGAACAGGCAAAGTAGAAAGGTTAAGATTCCTCAACAAAATGTAAATACCAACAACTGTTACAAACCTCAAGGGCTTATTGTGAAAGTTAAATGAGATAATAGTTATGAAAATATATGTGTTTCTCTCTCTAGCCTCTCAGATGATAACATATTAGGAGTCTATAAACATTTCAGATGAAAATGGGCTGTTTAAGAGAGACCAGCTGGGCCCCTTAGGAATGAGCATAGACTTACAGGGGAAGGGAATTTAGGGGCTGCTGAGTCTGATTTCTGTCTCACTGCCAATAGTGTCCTTATCAGGTGATAGCTTCTACAAGAAGTTTACAAAGGCCTTCCAAAGAAGGCAATGCCACTACTAATATTCAGATACAGAAAGATGAGGGGTGAAGCCAGTTCTCTTTTTTAATTCTGAAAACTGCTATGTTATGAAGTATTCCAACCAGGAACTACTCAGAATAACGACACTGATAAAGGTCACCATAACAGTGGTTAGAAACGTTAGCTCTGGAATCAAACAGACCAGTGGTTCTCAAGTTGGGGTGATTTTGCCTGCCAGGTGACATTTGGCAAGGTCTGAACATATTGTTTGTTTTTAAAAAATATATGTTTTTATTGATTTCAGAGAGGAAGGGAGAGGGAGAGAGAACTAGAAACATCAATGATAAGAATCACTGATCGGCTGCCTCCTGCACGCCCCCTAGTGGGGATTGAGCCCGCAACCCCGGCATGTGCCCTGACCGAGAATCGAACCGTGAGCTCCTGGTTCGTGGGTCGACGTTCAACTGCCGAGCCATTTCAGCTGGGCTGAACATATTTTTGATGGTCTCAACTTGTGGGATGCAATTGGCATCTAGGGAATAGAAGCTAGGAATGCTGCTAAACATCCAGTAACGCACAGGACAGCCCTTCACCCCAAAAAATGAATTATCAGCCCCCCTCCCAAATCAACTAGTTACAATGTTGAAAAATGCTGCAATTTAGACATAGGATATTAGTACTAGATCTCTCATTTACTAGCTGCGTGACCTTCAACAAGCTTGTTAGCCTCTCTCAGCCTTTTCATACCTGCAAAATGGGAATTATAACAGGGCTGACCTGAAACTTATAAAACACTTTACAGCATTAGAAGCCTATTTTGACTCCTTTCATCCTCAGCACAGTCCTGTGACTTAAATAAAGCAGACATTTAAAACTTTGTTTTACAAATGAAGAAACAGAAGCTCAGAAAAGTTAAGTGACTTGCTCAGGATACAAAGCTATGAAGTATCAATGATAGATTTAGAAAGAAACTTCAATTTCTAATCCATGCTTTTTCCACTGCAACTTGACAGATGAATGAGACAAAGCTGCAGAGGTTTAGGGACTTTCAGTCTTCATCATTGCTTCAAATACCAAAGATTACTTTTCTTTTGCATGCCTGTGACTATGAACCCAAGATGGAGAACAAATACATAAAAGGCTGAGCTGATTAAATTAAATAACATAAAATGGAGCCCCTTAAAAACGAAAACGTAAAATTTGACCTATTATGTCTTTTTTCATCCCTAATTTTTCATAGTTCCACCTGCCAAATACATTATGTATTTTTTGCAGGACTCAATAACGAGAATCTGCAATCATCCTTGGGAACAGATAACGGACACTGCATTTCAGCTTCTTTTTATTTAAAACACCATGAGTTATCATTTCAAACGCTGATTTTGTGTTCCTCGCTTTTAACCATGACAGGAAAAATTGTTTTCCCTAACTGCCATTTATTTTAAGAGAGGATAATTTTATTTTGTTCCACTACATTGAGAAAAATCTCCCTATTTCATCTTTTTTAGTTTTATTCCCCAAAGTAAAAGTTTTAAAACTTTTCAGAGGATACCAGTACAGTTACAGCTTCAGGCCCCATTGTTACATTTCTGGAATATAGAGTTACAAACGTATACGTAATTATTAAAAACTAGGGACGACAGTTCTCTTTCATGTTGGCTGTGAGGTCTGACCCTTCGTGTTCCCTGAATTTGTACACTGGGAATGGAAAGAATGAGAGAGGGTGAAGACATCTAAATATAATGGCTCTGCTTTGAGTCACCACCTAAAAACAATCTTCTTGAACCATAATAAACAGGGCCAGGCCGATGGAATAGCTAACCGACTGTTAAGTTTAGAATGCTTCAACATATTTATGCTAAACACTTTTTAATGTTCTCTTATCTTAGTTAACAAATGCATATTATTAAATTCTATTCCTCAACATAGATTTTGAATTTGAACCAACAGTATGCTGTCAAGGAAGGCTGCACAAGATAAAATTAGCCTTGTATAAAAAGCTACAGAACTGCTTTAGGGTGTGCTAAACAAGAGAGGAAAAACTGAAATACTGGAAAATGTGAGCTTCATAAGAACTGCAGACTTTAGAATAAAGACTCTTTAGAATAAGTAGCATAACCGTAAACAACTGTTCCTACAAAGGGTATTGTAGACTTAAAACAGTAAATATATAAAACTATTACTTAAATATGTATTTTTGTCTAACTATGGCTCATGTTCAGCTATGTTCTGAAATAGGATGATTTTTATGGCATGGAAAAGAGAGTGTATACTTTATATTATAAACTAGTTTCTAGGATCAAACTTCATTTACAAAATAAAATGACAACATAGATAGAAATATAAAAATAAAAGAAAATAAATTTGTCAAGCATTTATAAAATATATCTGGCATCTTAAATAACATGGGGATTAAGTAATTTTTACTCACTAATTCAGCATTGCTCAGGCCCAAGTTGATGACACCTGCACTCAACCTTTTGAGTTGGATAAACAGTATAAGATATTCCCTTCTCAGGCTGGCAGGCTGGCTTCATTCACTCAATTCATTCAACATTAACTACCTTATGCATGTCTGTGATTGTCTCATCACAGAGCACACCACGAAGGCTTTCCTTCAAGGTGCTAACACACAAGTGGGGAGATAGTCAAGTAATGAGATGATTCTAATAAGACTCCACGAGTTTGAGACAGATTCTTATGCCTGCTGGCAGAAAAAAGACTACTCTTGCGTTACGGAAGGAAGTGAGATTTCTGAGGCAGTCCCTGAAAAAAGCAATTATGACTCTAATTATGAATACTGTGTTGGCAAGGAGAGGCGATAAAACCTGGCACGGCACAGAGGGGCATGTACTTCTTCCCACTCAAAGTGCCGGCTCGCTAAATGAATTAGCAGCGAACAGGAAGGGTGGAACGAAAGATGTGAGGAGCGGTGCAGCGAGGGAGAAGACCCTATCCCTCTAAAATGACAGTTATGTGTACACTTAACTGCGGACAGAAACTCGGCACGGAGGGAACATCGGCGCAGCCCTCCGAGTGCAGAGTTTCCGCACGAGTTCTGGAAGAGCCTTTAGAAAGGAGGGGAAAGAAGCGAGGCGGCTGCCTGTAAACTAGTTTCAGCCTTTCCCTTGTATGTCACTTAAGCCGACGGTGCACAGTGAAAAGTCACATGTACGTGAAAAGCCTGCTGATTTTCACATTCCTGGGGACCAGTTACACTAAGCACAGCGATGTTTTCTAGTGGACACCTAGGTCAAAAGCAGCAGTAGGTGACGTACCGCAAGAACGGTGTGTGGGGGGGAGAAAGAGGAGAGTCTGGACGGTGCCTCTTTATTTCTGATCGAGGCTGAAAACATGGGAAAATGCCGCCGTGACTGGGTCTGAACCCCCTCCTTCAACAAGCAAGCGCGTCCCGGACGTCGGCCTCGCGGCCTCCGGGACAGGCGGGTGCGGGCAGCCAGGGGCACCGGGGTGCTGCCGCAGGGCGCGGGCAGGCGGCTGCGACGGCTGACACGCCCGGGGCCCAGACCAAACCCAGCAACTGCTAGTAGCGGCACACCCGGGGCAAGTGTTCACACGAGACCGTCTTTAGGTGTGACGTCCAAACACACTGCCTCCAGCACGGCACATGCTTGTTAAAGGAACGAATTCTGTGATTGC